AGATAAAGTGAGAGACTGTTATTATTATGTTCAGACAGTGATAATAAGTACCACCTGCCTCATATTGCTTTTGTCACGTTTAAGTTCTTCCAAGGTCATAGATCATTAGAATGTTTCAAAGAACAAGATGCTTCATTTCTACCTACAGCATACAATTTATTAACAAACCTGTCTCATAATGAATGAAAGAGTTAAATAATATTTACATCCCTGTAGTTCTAGTTCCTTTACATATTCCCTTCAGTAGATCATTTGAATAACAGACATTGTGGTAGAATACCTGCTTTCTAACAGGTTTATAGTCTGAGTAGTACACCATCTGCCCTTGTTTCCTGTTTGCATTATGGTTGAGCTTATGCAGTTAGTTTTAATCAATAAAATCTGAAATGCCTAAGACCTAGATGTTTGTGGTCACATCTTGTTCAGTAGAATTAGCAGTGCTACTAGAATTATATTCATCATATTTTATATATTAGAAGGCTATTGGAAGATTTTTACACTTTCTATACTTTACCTGTGTAACCTTTCTTTATAATATACGAGACAATGGTGTAAAAGGTCTAATAACCAGGTTTGCATATTCTGCTACATTAAAAAGCATTAAAAGAAATACCAGATGAAGTTATACTTCTAATGTGAGATTAACAAAATAAAACAAATGTGAATTTGAATGAACATATACAAATCTTCAATTACATAAATATGTGTATATTATTAGAGTCATTTAAATAACATTTTGGATGTTTTATATGATCTTAATTTGTTCTAATTTGCATTTATTCCATAAATAATTTTATGGCTTTAAACTGAACTGTCCTAAAATACAGCAGTTTTGTTGGGTTTTTTTCCCCAAGCACTTTGTTTTCTGGAATTACTTCTCTGTCTTTATTTATATAAGTATCATTAAAACTGTATTTAAATTCTCTTACCAATGTTTTTCTGAACAAAGTGCCATATTAACACTTCTTTCCCCTTTATCACCACCTCCAGAAATCTGTATAAACAATACGGATCTTTCAGCAGTTGTCTTTTAAAAGCATTTGCTAAAATATCAAGCAGGCTGGAAAGTGGTTTCTAATGGGAAACTATGAAAACTGGTGTGCATTTATTTAACTTAAATATTACTTCTGGCAATGAGATTAAATTTCTTATTATTATTCACAAATAATACTGAATTAGGATGATTATAAAGGAATAGGGCTATCAATAATAGAGTCAGTATTGCATTTGATTTGCAAAATTTAAATACATTCTTTGTGTTTTGAATAGAAAAGTGACCTGGGAATTTATAAAGTTAAAACCCAGTACTATTGGTAAGCATTATTTCTAGAACCTTGTGTCAATTCAGCCTTGAAATATACTTTCTTAAGCCACAATTCAAATATTCAATCATGTCTTCTGCTCCAAATCTTTTTCTTTGTCCTGAATATTTGTCAATATTGTACACATCTCTTTGCAGAAGGTGAATTCCTGTTTGAATAGTTCTATTACAGATCTTCCACACTAAATCTGAAGGTAATACAACAGCTTGTTGAGAACTGGTTCTGGGAGCACGCAAACTTTAGTTTTAAATTCTTTTCTTTCTTAGACTATCTCAGCTGTATTTATGATCAAATAGATCACACAAGCTTGAATTACCTTACTCTTTTCTGAAAGACTGTAGGGAGTCTGTATTTTCAAGCTCCTTAGTTTTATGAAGTTGGTGGCTCTTTCACAGTGCGTGTTTAACTTCTGAATTTTTATCTATTTTGTCTTCATTATATGTATTGGTACTCCAACTTAAGTGTTTTTCAACAGTAACTAGAGCAATTGAGCATCAGCACTCTAAAATTCCATTGTGTTCCTTCTCCTGAGCACTGTCTTTAAACAACTGGCCATTTTTTACATTGAATCATAGAATTTTAGGGGTTGGAATGGACTTAGAGATCATCTAGTCCCAACCCCCTGCCATGGGCAGGGACACCTCCCCACTAGACCAGGATGCACAAGGCCTCATCCAGCCTGGTCTTGAACACCATCAGGGTTGGGGCAACCTGTTCCAGTGTCTCACCACCCTTACAGTAAAATCCTTTTTTTCTAATATCTAACCTAAACTTCTCCTCCTTCAATTTGAACCTGTTACCCCTTGTCCGATTACTGTAGTTTCTAATAAAGTGCCTCTCTCCAGCTCCACTGTAGGCCCCTTCAGATATTGAAAAGTTGCAGTGAGGTCTCCATGCAACCTTCTCTTCTCCAGGCTGAACAGCCCCAACTTCCTCAGCCTGTCTTCATAGGGGAGAT